GGCAGGGTGGTGGGGAGGCCCCGGGCCGGGTGGAGGGGCCCCCAGGACACCCGGCCGGGTGGAGGAGACGCTTTGGCTGGGACCGAGGCAGGGAAGGGAGCCTGCTCCCCAACCAGATGGTCAGGATGCTGAATTATTAAATTATGAATATTAATACAAATCAGACACAAAAGAGGTAATAATTTTGCTGCCCTACAGAAATAATTAACATAATTTTGATAAATTACATGATAAGAGAATCTCAAAATTGAGGTAGATTTATCTTAATTAATATCTTGGACTGGCTCTGCAAGGTAAATTGTTCCTTGGGGGTTGGGTCAGGATGAGGCTGGGGCGGGGTGTGGCCCCTGGCCCACGTTTCTTTTTGTCGCTGAGGCTGGGGGACAGGGCGGGAAGGTGCAGGGGCCCGAGTGCGGTGCAGCAGCTCGGGGGGGGGCGGGGCGGGCACTCTCTGTGCCTCAGTTTCCCTTTCTTGAAGGTCGTCGGCTGGCCCTGGTCTCGCAGGGCCACTAGCTGTGACTGACACCTTGGCCAAATTCTCCCAAAACACTCTGCTGTGCCCTGGGACACCTGCCTTCCAGGCGAGCTATACACTCGCTTACCTACCTGTACGCACGTGGCCGGGGACGCAGGACACCCCAGAGCTCGCCCCAGCAGCTTGTCCCACGCTTCCCAAGGCTCCGAGCTGGGCCTTGCAGCCTTTGCGCCTCAGCTTCCCTTCGGTGCGATGGGAACCGGGCCGTACAGTGTCACGACTGCCGGCTCCCCCTCCCGTCCCCCTTGCCCACCCCCCTTTCCCTGCCAGTCCCCTGGCAGGTGGGGGACAGTCACCAAACCAGAAGGACCTTCGAAGGTAGTGGACGAGCCTGGTGCAGTTGGTGCCCAGCCACCCAGGGTCCACCAGCCGGGCAGTCTCAGACTCCAGCAGCCTGGCCTTTTGGGGCCGGGGACCATGGGTGTCCCGCTGTGTGTGCTTCACAGGACAAACCGCGAGAGAACAGCGGCTGTCTCTGACCCCCTGAGAGGCTCCCGACCTGCTCCCTGGGCCTCGGTTTCCCTGGCCGTGGGCCCGCCCAGGAGCAGCCAGTATTGTTTTAGGCGGAGCGGGCGGGCAGGGGTGGCAGGCACCAGGGCCCTGGGGCCGGTCGGTGTCGGGACGAGACAGGGAGGAGGCAGGGGCGGCCACGAGGGAGGAGAGGCAACGGGGCCCAGAACGCAAGGGCCTGGCCATTTCTTCTGTCCAGGCTGGGCCCGGAGGCCGGATGCTTGTCCCTGCAATATTTTACAGGGGAGCAGCGGGGGCTGGGAGGGCACCATGGTAGAGAACGCTGGTCTGGGAGGCAGAGGCCGGACCCCAGGCCTTGGGCAGCCTTGGTTTTGCCATCTGTGAAATGGGAGAATGGCGCCTGCCTCACAGGCGGCCCCAGGACCCCTCGCGGACCACAGCAGACGATGACTTGTGAGTCAAACGCAGCGGTGAGCCCCCCGCCCCACGCTGGACCTGCCGGAGTCACAGAGAGCCTGGTCTGGGGGCCAGAACCGGGTGGCAGGAAAAGGCTCCAGGCCCCATGTGACGTCAGAGGGCTGGAGGTTCCTTGTCCTTGAGACCTGGGTCTGCTGTCCCCACACCCTGGCTCCCCGGAATGTGTCCCTCGCATGAAGGCTCAGTGCCACCACTCCGTACTCAGGGCCGAGGGCGCAATCCTGGAGTCTGGTTTTCTCGTCATTCAGGCGCGGAGCTGGGACAGCTGCCACGGCTCACGTTCCATCGCAAACTGCTGTGCAGTGACGCCTTTAACTGTTCTGACGGGGGAGTTCCTGGGCCGTGCCCTGCTACGCCCTGCTTCTGAGCCCGTGTCCAGCCCCAGGGGAGGAGAGGACACCCCTGGATGAGACTGCGGGCTCCCTCAGGGTCTGTGAGGTATGCTGACCCCACCGTGCCACTTCAGCCAGGCAGCTGCCTCTGTTGGGACAGGGTCCTGGGCTTCGGTGAGCTCCGCGCATGA